TCCGCTAAACTTCAGCCTTGTATATCCAACTGCCTTCTCTACTCTCTACATTTCCATTTTTTTTTTTTTTGGAGAGGTTTTCGCTATAGGGCGTGTGCGCTCGCCAGACAGACAGAGAGAGACATAGAGACAGAAAGCGAGAAATCACCCCCCAGGGGGGATGGTCACGCCGCAATCCCTTCTCCTCCATTCTCCTCTCGGGATCTTGGGCACGCACGCACACGCGCCCGGCGTGAGATTTAAGCCACCGGGTCCGAGACGCGAACCGCGGTCGACTACGTGGGAGTCCAGCGACATAGCCATTACGCTAACTGCTGGTTCCCAAGGTGGGGGAGTCTTAAACTTCCTGGTCTTCGTGTCAGTCTTAGGGAACCACATTCCTACAAGATCACTAATTGGCTTTATTGCAATGGTTGAGGGTGATGTTTTACCCTTGCAGGGTACCGTAATAACAGTAAAACTCACGGCAGAGAAATTGAATACCGGCCAGTACAAGGACACAAGGGAGGGCTTGTAAACTGGGCCCTGCCTCAGTTTCTTCCCAGTCCAGGCCCTGCCTTAGAATGGGAGGCAGGATCCTTACCAGCTTGTGTTGCCTGCATGGCCCCGTCATGTGCCTATAAACCCTGGTGGGAGGGAGAGGATTGCGGTGGCTCATTCTCGCTCTCTCTGGTCAGTGCACGCACCCTCTCGCAATAAAAGTAAGTAAATAAAAGTATCTAAAGATACAATAACGCCCCAGCACCGGCTCTGCTGTGACAGTGTGTCCTAGGAATGAACGTGTCCGTCAGGGGACTGAGTATCGTGGGGGAGGAGATAACTCCTGCAAATATAAAACAAAACACATACTTACAGTCTATTTAAATAACCACTTCTTTGCCCCTGCTCCCTGCCCAGGAGAGAAGACACACTTACACACTTAGACGGGCACTGGACGGTGGGAGGACAGGCCACCTGTTAGTGTGAGGGGCTGGCAGAGTCCACTTGACCCGACTCACGAGGTCGGGGGCCAGGGTCTTGGGCTGGGTGTCTGCACACACAGGCGGGGCTGGCCCTCAGCAAGAGCTCAGAGCTGCTGCGCGGCAGCTCCTCCCCAGACCCAGACGGGCCAGCAGCGGGCGTGGGCAGTGGAAGTTCTTCAGAACTCTGGGAATGATTCCAACTCACAGCGCCGCTCGAAGTCCCCTGGTGTGGGTATTACCTCTGTTCTGTGGGACAGAAAACTGAAGCCCAGGGATGGCAGGAACTTGCCCAGAGTGGCGCAGTTGGGAAAAGCAGACTTGGTGGCGCGAGCCCTGAGCACCGAGTTGGTGGCCAGGATGGGGCCTGGACTCATCTTCCCTCCGTGTCGTGGTGACAGCGGCACTGTTAACGACCGTTCCCGGACGCCAGGTGCAAGGGCAGTGGTCTGGCCCACGAGGCTGCCCCGCCCATCTGGCTTCTCTGCATCCTGGGACTCTGCTAGCATTTTCTTACAAATTCATGTTTTCTTCCCGAAATACCCAACTGATTGGTCAAGAGCGTTAGCATGCGTCATTAATCCTAGCATTTCCCTTCTCTCCCAGAAACATATTATCCAAATTGGAATCAATTTTCCAGACGGTTTGCAGCCAGTGGAATGTTCCGGAACAATACTTTCAACATCTGCACAGAGAAGAACCTTGTGACCCACGTCCTCACTGCCTGTGACCAGCTCAACTTCCAGCCTGGTCAGTGCCCACAGGCCGCCTGTCCGTGATGAGGGGCTGGAAGGCCCACCGGGAGCCTCTGACCCGCAGACCCGTCACCCCGTCATAGCTGCGCACCTCACTGCTTTCCCGAAATGACGTCTTTTTTCCGGGACAGAAAATGCACAGGGACCTGCAGATGGCGTAATGGTTACTTCATTGGTCTCCCAAATGACTGACCACAGTTCAAGTCCTGGGTTCCTCAGCCTAAAACTCAGGTGGGGCCCGTGGTGTGTGCGTGCCCAAACTCCTGGGTGAACGGAGAGGGGATTGTGGCGTGGTCATCCCCCCTGGGGGCTGGTTTCTCAAGTTCTGTCTCTGTCTCTCTGGCCAGCACATGCGCCCTATAGCAAATATCTTTCTAAAGAAAAAGAAAAATGGGGGAACCAGCAGTTAGCATAATGGCTATGTCGCTGGACTCCCACGTAGTCGACCGCGGTTTGCGTCCCAGATTCGGTGGCTTAAAACTCACGCCAGGCGCGTGTGCATGCGTGCCCAAGAACCCAAGAGGAGAATGGAGGAGAAGGGATTGTGGCGTGGCCATCCACCCAGGGGGTGATTTCTCGCTTTCTGTCTCTCTGTCTCTCTCTCTC